TTCTCCTCTCAGTTTTATTATAACCAACTTGGTGACGTGGTCACATCATTTGATCTTTCTGGAACTATTTTGTCATCTGCAAAATAAGAGGAAGGCTAGAACAATTTAGTGTCTCTGAAACACTTTTACTGTAATTTCCAGATCTAGTCCACACGTGCACACACACACACACGCATACGCACATGCATAACTGAACAACCAAAATACCAAAACAATACTTAACCATACTCATGTAATGTATTTTTATGCTTCCTAATCTGTTTTATTTCAGATGAAAAAATGGGTGGTCGCAAGTCATTAAGCTCATTTTGGAATTTCCCATTAGGCCTGAGTGTCCTGAATGCTATTCAGGCATATTCATTCTATGTTTCTCTCCAGTTATGAAATTCTACAGCATAAAGAGATTCTTAGGGTTACAGTGGGCTGGGGGCTAGAAAAGTGACCCCTTTGCCTTATAAATACACATTTTCTTTTTAATTGCATCATGTTCTTACTGCTTTCAGCAGGAAATTCTTGTTATTATACCATTTGGCAAATACAACTTTTTGGCAAAGATTGACTGAGTTCCATGACGTGTTTAGTAAGAAATTAATTGATATGCCTAAAAATGCCTCCACCATCACATATATATGAAGATGAGCTACAGACTCTTTATTCTGATCTTAGTGTCTCAATGCCTAATAAAGGCACTAGGAATTTCAACAGGAGAGACTCTTACTTTTCTCTATAACCTCCTGTTTGGTCAATCTTATTGAGCCTAGAACTAAATTGGGCTAGGTGTTAAACTCTTATAGAACATTAATATTCTAGGAAACATAGCTTGGAAAATGTTCCTTTAGGAAATTCTAGAACTTGTAAAACATTAAGATAACCACAGATTCTTGTAGTTACAGAGGGATTTTTACCTTTACCCAAATGTGGGGTTACACTTTGAGGGAAAAACTACAGTCTAGAACAGAAGCCCAGAGAAGTAAGAAAATGGTCAGAAAAATATTCTTAAATTCTTGAAAAGAACAAGAAGAAGGGTAATATGTAGACTAGTATGTCAATTAGTGAGTACAGTACTATAGTACTTTCTTAATTATTGAATAACAAGAGACTGACCTTGTAAATACTGTGTGTGTGTGTGTGTGTGTGTGTGTGTGTGTGTATGTGTAATATGACTGGAATAAAGTAAAGTATATAAAGTATATAAAATTTTAAAGTTACAGTATTTGAATTTTAAAGTTACATTATTTGAGTTTTTTATTTTACTTTCTCCTTTAGGAGCTTGTTTAAATTGTAGAAGTTAATTCCAAATAGTAGAGTATTAAACTTGGAATGAAAGATGATATAGTGTCTATCAATGCATTAGGGTCATATATTACAAAGTTTTTTCTCTTCTCATTTTCTCTCAGATCTAAGATAAAAGAAACAACTTCTTTAACAAGTAGAGACTGGGCCATCAAGAAGAAACAGTGAATGATTTAGTAAGACTGTGTCTCTTCTGATAAAAAGACAGCTGGTAATACAGTTTCCAAAAGTGAGTGAGCACGAGAGAGAGAGAGAAAGAGAGAGAGAGAGAGAGAGAGAGAGAGAGAGAGAGAGAGAGACAGAGAGAGAGACAGAGAGAGAAAGAGAGAGACAGAGAGAAAGAGAGATAGAGAAAGACAGAGACAGAGACAAAGAGAAACAGAGACAGGGACAGAGAGACAGACACACAGAGAGACAGACACAGAGAGACACATAGAGAGACAGAGAGAGAGACAGAGAGACAGAGAGAGAGAGACGGAGAGAGAAAGAGAGACAGAGAGACAGAGACAGAGACAGAGACAGGGACAGAGAGACAGACACACAGAGAGACAGACACAGAGAGAGACACACACACACAGAGACAGAGACAGAGAGACAGAGAGACAGAGACAGAGAGAGACAGAGAGAGACAGAGACAGAGACGGAGACAGAGACAGACAGAGACAGAAGTCATTCAGACAGACAGACAGCAGGCAGCATATTTGTGAGGAGGGGTGCAATTAGTGGCTCATACTTATATTCCTTTTTCTTTGTAATTGCTAAGTTTCAGAAATCACTTAGTATTTTTAGTAAACTGGAAGCAAATCACTAAACATGTATCAATTCAAATGCATTTGATATGACCTTAATGGAATTTTAAAACATGTTTTTCTTCATGTTGGGAGGATTTTTTTTAATACAACGCAATTTAATAGGAAATAAGTGCCTTCTGAGATTCTCTGCTGCAAACATGGTTTTGATGGTGCATCCAATTCCTGGTGCAACTTTCTGGACATCAGTTTGGCAAGGAACATGAGAAGCCCCACGGATACAAAGCAATTACACTGTCAGGCATTTAACTTGTAGAACAAATCTGAGATGTTTGTAAAGTTGTACAAAAGACATTTCTCATACTACTAGACTTAATAGTGAGCATTTTGAAATACTCTTATTATCGTGCAACTCAGAATTGTCCTGGTAAATATGATACAATCATAGAAAGGAATGCTAGCCTGTCATTTAAAAGCTATTTTGTAGAAGAATATCTAAACAAGGGTATTTTAATATGATTTAAGGAAAAGAAAAGCAGGTCATAAAACTGTTACTTTTTTATCCCTACTTGATTTAAAAGAAAAAGAAAACCAGCACATGCGTACACACAAATGTATGTAAACCAAATTTCTAACAGTGGTTATTTCTGAGTAGAAGGCTTATATATGATCTTTTCTTTTCCTCTTCGTTTTCCAAAATCTCCAAAATCAGCATATATTACATTTTAATTTTATAAAAGAGGATCATATAAAGATACAGTTCATGTGAGTTTTTACTGTCCTATTTTGTAAATGTCCCTTAAAACAAAGTGATATTTTTTGTATGCACAAGCAAAGCCTCCAAGCATCTATTGGCATTCCCAATGGGCATCCAAGAGACTGGTGAGGGCGGGCTCCCTTCAGACAGGTGGATCAATCTCTTTCTGAGTGCCTGTGTCTGTAGGTGTGACCTTTCAGGCAGTGGGTACTGATGTGACACAGTTTGAAAAGTGTGAGGCTGCTCTACCTGGTCTCTCGAAGTTCTTTGCTCACAGCTCAGAGCTTGTGGCTGACGTGCTACCACCAGAGAGCCATTCCTCAGGCTTATGGATTTTTACCCTATTAAAATGCAAATAACCCCGGAGAAGTACACATTAAACTTTACCTGTCACCTGGGTTAAATGAGTATAACATATCATTTTCTGGGGATAGGTTTTAATGAGGATGACATGGGAATTCAGCGGGGATGGATACAGAAAGACTAAACATGAAAGAATATACACGGTGTCGGAGGAGTAACTAATATTCGTAATAGTAATATTTTTATTTATGGTTTATGAGTCACTTAGGAGTATGTTATCACATTTAATATCAATTAAATCAAATAGAATGGCTATCACCTAGGCAAGTTAAGTAGACCAGGGACTTAAAAAAATACTGAGGGCAAAATCTGCAGCCTTTATAATATTTTCTCTAGAGCCAATCGTAAAAGCCCCAATCCCCCTCACTCACTGAGATAATGTTCCTTTAACTTATCCTGGTTTTCTTGAAAACTTTAAGGATGTGTGATGTTGTCCAAATAACTGGACTATATGCAGATAATGAAGTGGGGACCACTTAAGAAAATACGACAACTTTATATTTAATCCATTATTGATGTGTACCACAAAGACAGGCCAACATCCAAGAATTTGTGTTCTAAAAGACAGTGACTAACTGGAAACACATGTGAAAGTGTCTGATCAAATGCTTTACAATATTTGTGAACGTGTATCTTTCTTTTACTGTATGGAGAATGGAAAGGAATGGAAAGGACCAGAAGTAGCAATAAAATACTATAGCACACGAAAGACCATATTTAATTATTTCCTCTTGCCAAAACATGTAAGTTAAATAAAAGTACAATGTAGTAATTAAGATACGGATTTTGGAGCCAACTTTTTGTGTTTGAATCCTGGCTCTATTTTCCACTACCTATGTAAATCTGTGCCTCGATTTTGTTATCATTAAAATGGGTATAATGTCAGGTGTGGTGGCACATGCCTGTAATCCCAGCACATAGGAGCTGAGGTAGGAGGATCACCATAAGTTTGAGTCAAGCCTGGACTACGAAGTGAGTGAGTTTAAGGTCAGCCTGAACTAAATAGTGAGGCCCTGTCTGAAAAACACATGTACTGTAATGGAGCTTATCTCATGGAGTTGCTGAATTTGGACTAAGTTGATCAACATTTTAATACTGCCAGGTACAAACTAGTTGCCTTACAATGATGCTTAAACCCTCAGATAGATTCATATATGACCTGAAGGTAATGTTACTGATGTTAATGCCACACAGTAGAAGTATATGGTAGCTTTTAAACATCACAAAATTCAATATTTATACTTTTATAACCAAAGAAAGAGTGGTAGCAATTAAGAATATTAGATAAAGTTGCTATCCAATTCAATGTGTATCATTATATTAATAGGATATTCCAATACTTAAATTTTCATTTAACTAAAGGTATCTCTCCCTGTACTAATTATCAAATATGTAGTTAAGGTTGAAAGAGGGACAAGAAAAATCAGGGAAAGGAAACACCATACGCTGAGGTTCCAACTTGGAGACATGGGGGTTTAATGAATAATATAGAGAATTATAGGTTCACTATAACATATACTGAATGATCATATCAAAATCATGTAACTGTCAGATTTATGAAATGAGATGATATAGGCAGAAGTAAAGGCACAAAACTATTGATGAAGGCAGCACTTCAGAGTTCACTGCAGGCAATAATTATGCACCAGCTACAGAATGGACAAAATGATCGAATTGGCCCTCTTCTTCCTTACCTTCTGAGTTCACCTGCCAAGTTATATTTCAGGATGATTTATGCCTCCACTGCATCTGGCAGAGATGACTGTAATTCAATTCTTAATTCTTAGCAACCAAGATGCAATGAAAAGGTTAAGCAATGAAAGTTGAAAACGACTTACTGGAAAGGAAATGCTGGGATGCTGGGCCAAAGTCCCTATGGGCTTCATGCAGCTGCCTGACTCGATCCTCAACAGCCATCTGGGAGGAAAAGGAAAAAAAAATGAAGTTTTTCCATCCTATATAATGGAGAACAGTGAATACAATGCATCCTTCTTGGTAAATGTTTTGGGTCTCTAAGGCCAAGAACGCGCAAGCAATTAATTAGTCAATCCATTATCCTTGCTTTAATTCCCCCCTTACTGGAGAGGGTTTCCAAGACCCATTTCTATAAAACCAAGGCCAAACGCAAAGAATTTCCTCTCTGGACAATGTTTAAATGATCATTTTTACCCTCAACTCATCAGCAGACATGAATAAATTACTGCCTTAATTAGTACCATCAAAAAGTGAAAATTGTAATTCCTTCCCAAAAAGTTAGGGGAGTTTCCACTTGGTATTATGCTAGGTGGCTAAAGGATATCAGAAATGGCATATATTTTGTCTTTAAGTCTTAGTCCTTTGTTTTTGACTAACTTTTAAAAATACTGATCAATATTTAATGAACCATCAAGTTAAAATTATTGGTAATAAACAATGGTTGGTTGATTAATAATTAAATGTCCAAGAAGTAGAGGAAAGTTTTACACTTAGGGCAATACAGAATGGGTAGTGAGATAAAAGAAATTTTCAGATTTTTGTTTTCATTGTACTTGGAAATTACTGAGACAGCTGCCTCAGGCAGCACAGAGTAAAAATTGTCATTATTTTCCTTTTCCAATTAGATTTTTCTATAATGTATATTAACACAGTGTTCCATAAGCTTAGTGAATTCTATTTTTGGTGGGGAAAGATTTTATGGGTGAAATGGTATATTTTGTCACCTAGCATTTTGCTAACCCAATCTTCATGGTGGCCCTAGGCACCCTAACTCTATATAATTCTGGATCTTGGTTTGCTTGTGGAGGGTCCATGCTACCCTTTAGAGTTGTTCAGAGCTTGCCCAAATCCATCAGAACTTAGGGGGTTTAGTTCCTGTGGGGTGGAGAACTTCCAGGAAGTAAACAGATCTTAATGTGATCAGGAAAGCGGCCCAGGTAATCTGGCTAAAAGCCAACTTTGACCTTCCACTATCAGTAAGCACTTAATGTAGATTATAGCAATCCTTTTTCACACTCTCTAATCTAGTTCATCTTTGCTTGGACAAAACATTTGGATAATCAGTGAGATTTCAAAATGGCAAGATTTGCTTTCTTTTTATGCACACAAAAGCTCACGCGACAGTCAAACTTGACAGGCCAGCCTCATGACCTTGCACTTCCAACCAAACTTGAGCAGTCAAACCTGTCTGTCAGGTGATGTTCCATCCCGTATACTACTTGCTGTGGTTTACACCAAGAATGTTCCCCAAAAGCCAAAATCAGAGGTAAGACTTCTGCAAAGTGATTAGAACATGGAGATTCCATAAGTGACATGCTGTTAGGAGGAGGAACATGGTTGGAAAAGAGGGTCCATGGGGCGTCTCCTTGTCCTGATCCTCTTTTTGCTCTGTTTCCTGGCTGCTATGATATCAGGAGCTTTCCTCCTCCAGACCTTTCTACCATGTCCTGCTTGCCTTGGAGTTGGCCAGCTGGGGACTAAATCCTGTACAAAATGGGAACCCTTTTCACTTGTGGATGTCATCTTGTGTCTAAGCGATGAGAAAACTGGCAAAGTCACCCTGGTGGGATTTCTTCAAGCTGCTGCTTCTCTCTAGAATGTTTTTACCCCTCTGCTCTCCCAGCTCAAGGCTGTGTTTCTATGCTGTCTTTTCCATCTCCCGGGTTAGAATGGTTTCCTCAGCATTCTCGCAGCATAAGTTTTGTATCAGAATCCCCTGGATGACAACACACCTGGAAGTTATATGAACATGACAATCTTCTGAGAAAAATTATAAATTCCTTGGGGGCAGGGCAGTGACCTTTTCTTGCTTCTTCTCCCATCCCCCACCATGCACTGAATCCTGCACATAGCAAGTGGTAGCAAATATTTATCAACTAGCTGATAAAACAAACGGGAGATGAGTAAGTGTTGTACAGAGATAGAGACAGAGACAGAGAGACAAAAGACAGAGACAGAGAGACAAACAAGAGTATTCAGTGACACTGACTGGTGATTAATTCTATGTGTTAACTTGACTGTGCCATGAGGTACCATAAATAAATGCTATGTCTGGGCATTTTTAAAAACAAGATTAGCATTGCATTCTGTAGATTTAGTAGCTTACTCTCCCCAACATGGGGGGTGGGCATCATCTGATCAGTTGAAGGCATGAACAAAACAAAAGGCTGTCTTCTTTTTTTGCCCTGATGGCTTGCTCATGCTGGCACAATGGAGGCTCCTGAATTTGCACTGAGATTTATACCATCAACTGCCCTGGCATCATACTCCTCTGATCTGCTGTGACTAGCTTTTCTGGGTCTCCAGCTTCCGGGCAGCAGACCAAGGGAGTATGTTGTCTCTATAACTGCAAAAGCTATTATCTCCTACTGCATCTCTATTAGAAGAGATATATTAGAAGAGGTTTTGTTTCTTTGGAGAACCATGCCTGATAAATGGATAAATGATTTTAATCTTTACTTATCAATAATGTGTGGACAAGTTAATGACCTACTTTATAGTTTTGTGGAGATTAAATAAAATCATATACATATATATGTTTACTTTTTGTCACACTAATTGCTCAGTAAATGTTAGCAGCTACTGTTATTTTTGCTACTTTGGTTAATAAACGGACAAGAATACGTTACGATGTGCAGGGTACCTCATACAATACAAAAAATGCTAACATTTACTACATACAATATGCATGACATTGTGTATTAACTTATTTAACTTTCACAATAACTCTGAGATAGGAATTAATATTACCATTCTTTTCACTGATATAGAAATTGAAAATGAAATTCAAAAGAAAAATTTTCTTAAAACAAAGTAGTTATTAAATTGGTAGAGCCCTTTTTTTTTTTAAGTTCTGAGACAGGGTCTTACTAAGTTGTTCGGGTTGGCCTCAAAGCCACAATCCATCTGTCTCAGTCTCCCAAGTAGGTGGGATTACACATGAATACCATCATATCTGACTCTAGCTCTTGTTCTTACTTGCTGTCTGAGAGATTAGATTGGGAAAAATATTTCACAATTATTTAATGAGTAGTTGGGTTTAAAATTTTAATCGATTGAATGCAGAGCAAATCAGGTATGTATGTATCTATGAAATTTTATTTGTCAATATATTTGATGACCTAATAGAAGCCCAGCTGCTGGTTTGAAGAACATGGAACCTAAGATAATAGAGGCCATGTATGAAAGAACACAAGCAAATGAATGGTTGGAAAATGTAGTTGTTTCTAACCATAGACTGAGTTATTTCATGAGCAAATTAAGAGATGAATATGAACATTTGGGAATAGGAAGGAAGAGACAATGAGACATACATTAATGCAAACTGATCAGAATTTTTTTTTTACTTACTGATCAATAAACCCCAAGAGGAACAGATAGACCATGAAAAAATATCACTGGAACACAGTCCCTGTCCTCTGGTGATTACTAATGAATCACTTCATAGGGACCACACGAAGGTGGAATTTAATTCCCTTGTAGGCTCTTGACCTCAAAAGTTTGTTTCCTTTTTATATAAGGAGAGTTCCAGTGGTAGTTCCCAGTGTATATCCAATATGTTCAGGAATTTAAACTGAAATCAGAGAATTTCCATTCCTATGACTCAAACTTAGCAACACACGTGAGAGACTGAAATTAAAAATGCAATATGTAATGAAGTGACATATTCAGGAAACAGTCTTAAAATAATGAAAGAATTAAACATAGCATATTTCATTTTACTAATTATCATTGGAGAAATGTATTGTGTGAGCTGAATGGACAAATGACTAAAGAAATAATTGCAGTAGAAAAGATTTGAAGACAGCCAGGATGCTTTCAAGCTGTAGCTACTTATAAGCAAAGCATTGTATTCTCTGCACTCCTACACAGAGAAATCAAATTTGAACTTTTGAAACAATAGCCTCCAAACATTAGACCTTTTTAAATGGCTGTGTTTTTAACCAATATAAAGCAGTATATTCAAGCTAGAAAGCAAAAGCAAAATAGTTTGCATTCTGGCACAATTCATGTTTTACTCTATTAGTTACTTGTTCACTTTTTAAGTATTTGTTATAACTGAAAGGGGTGTGCGAAAGAAGCAAATGCTACAGAATTTCATCTTTGAGCACATAAAGGGGTGGAGATGAGGGATAGTAACAAGTCCAGGAAGACCTGCAGCTGCACATTGTTAGTGTGAGAACAACAACGGGGAGCAAGTTAACTAGGCCCCTTGAAAGCTAATAACATAACACAAAGCCTTTGTAACTCTGAAGCTCAAGATGTACCCTGCAAAGCCAAGGGCACAACTGGGGATTTCTATGAGATGACTCACCATTTTAGAGGATGTTACAGTTTAGATCAAGAATGTTTCCCAGAGGCCTCATGCACTCACAGGAGGGGATTGTGGGAAATGATGGGCTCATGGGAGCGCTGTGCTCATCAGTGGAATCATCACTAGTGAGTTGAGCAGCTGAAGGTGTTGTTAGAAGGTGGGGGCTGGTTAGAAGGGGAAGGCCACTGGGGGAGAGTATATCTCCCTCCCTGGTTCTTTCCTTCAGGCTCTACTTCCTGGCCACCATGATGTGCATGGCTTTTCCTCTGTCATGCCTCTCTGCTGTGCCATTTTTTTTCTGAGATGCAACCACTGATTAACAGATAACCCAAAGATTAACTGATTAACCAAAGAAACCTGTTCTCCTTTAAGTTGTGTCTCAATGAAAAGAAAGTGACTAAGACAAAGAAACTTGGGTTTTAGGAGGATTAGTTTATTATACACAGGGCACAAAACAAATTCAAAAGGGCCTCTAAAGCAGGGATCAGTTAGAGGCTAATACAATTGACTAGACTTGGATGGTATGTGTTGAAAGAAAGACTGTATTGCCTGGAGTGTAAAAGAAGGTACATATTAAGAGGTTATTTTGAGAGAAAGAAGCATTTTCCAATTTGGTGTGGTGGTTTAA